CATCCTTAATTTAAAATACACAAATGCAGTGTTGCAAACAAAGTTTACTTCAGAATAAAACTGCATGCACAATTTTTTTGCAATCACAGTGCACTGGCACGCACGGCATTGTGGTACCATTTGTTCCAATGAGGGCGAACACACTGTGGGTGTTGGGTGGGAGATGCGTTTGGAGTACCATGAAATGAATGGCACTGCAATGCACCTCCTGTTTCCACTTTGTCAGGCTAAAACCAAAAATTACTGTTTTCCCATCTTTTACCATCTTATTTATTTAATAATTGTACTGTAAGCACATGGAGCTTGAATAGCTCCAGCCATGGAATGACAGCTGCCAGTGGCAAGATTCTGCAGACGGCAGCTGAATGTAAATACAGCAGGTAGTGGGCTGGTGCAATAGCCAGCCTGCTATTGGCTATTTCAAACCAATAGCCAATAACAGGCTGGCTATTGCACCCGCCCACTGCTTGCTGTGCCCTCCTCCCAGCATGGAGGAGAGCACACTTCTCCTGCCTTCTCCAAACTCTTCACCCTTTTGTGAATAACCCCGTTAGTGTTTTATCCACTGAAATACAGTACATTAGTTGCATTGGCTTGCTTGTCAGTGTTTCCACTATAGACTGAAGGGCCCCGGATATAGAGATCCCGGAGGCTTGTCTGTAGGGGTATTATTGCGGTCCAGCCCTTTCTACTGGTTGCAACTTTAATTTAATATTGTCGCATCTGTGGTAGTTAACCCAATGTAGACGCACCACCCCCTTGCTTATCTCCTTAGTGTTGCTTTTACTGTACGGTTTTGTCTACTGCGCATGCTTCTGTCTCCTGTGACCGTGGCCTCTCAGTTCAAACGAAGGGCTGCTGTACGGGCTATTCACTATAGCCCTACAGCAACCGAAGGTGGCTCAGCCGAGCTGCAGGCATATGCTTCGGCCCGACTGAGCCAAAGCAGGGCGAACAGCCTGCCGAAGGCCGGCTGTAAGCCCTGCAAATGACAGCTGGGCAGAGCCAGCCGTGAGATCTCACGGCTGGCTCCGCCCAGTTGTAATGGCCAGCGTCCCTAAATGACCTGTCACGGCCAGCTCCACCCAGTTGTTAATTGGCCGGGACCTTTTAGAAGACTCTAGCGAGTGCCGGCAAGTAGGAAACAGTTGGGCGGCGCTAGTAGTGACAGCCCCACCCATTTTTCTTTCCTTTTTAAAATAATATTTTTTTTAATTTTACTATTTATTTACATTTTTTTTAAAATATTCTAACTTTTTATTTTAACTCTTTTTTTTTCCACTGATTTTCTATTCTGCTCGGGACCACAGAGGTACTGAGCAGAATTGCCGTGCTGAATGCTGCTCGGCGGCATTCGGCTATTCACTCACTGCCGTTCGCCCTTTATGGGAATAGGGGAAAACGGCAGCGAGTGAGCTGCCAGAGCTTTGGCTCAGTCGATCCAGATGTTGGGTCGGCTGAGTTGAAGTCCTTCTGCACTTCAGTCAGCCAAACATGCTCCGATGTACGGCTGAAATCAGCTATTCACTGTGACTCAGTACGGCCAAACGTTGTTCAGCTCACTTCATTTCGGCTGGGTTATTCACTCGACTGCTTTCGGCAGCTTTGTGCATAACCCCCCTTAGTTTACTGCACAAAACGTGCAAGATTTGGTAGCCTGGTGGCTCTTGCAGCCACCTTTTTCCTCAGCGGCAGCAGTGCAAAATCTTTTACTGTGGGCCCTATTTTGGACAGCAGCCCCTTAGCTTCCTGGTACTGTTTCCTTTTTTTTTGTTTTTTTTCTGAGTGGCTGTCTGGGTAATTAGTCCCTCCTCCTGTTATGGGATTTCTAGTTAGTGGCATTTTTAAGTGTTCTACACTGGATGCTAACTCACTTTATGTCGCCTGTTCGGTGGCCTCGGAAGCACCTCTTAACGCCCCCAGGGTTTTTCTTTTTTTTTTTTAATGTCCCTTCCCCCTCTTTTACCTTTTGACTCCAAAACTTGGGTTGTGGATGATTTAGTTGCTAAGAATGTTCAGGCTATTTAATGTTCTGAAAAAACATCATCACAAAAATGTCTTTCACAATCACCTGTCTCCCCGGATTTGTCTGAAGATGAGGTACAGGATGTACCAGGTCTTAGCAGGCCTTGAGATTCTGATGACTGTCAACTTTCTGTCCGTGAGGAAGAGCATGATGAATCTGTACTTTTCCTTTCTCATAAAAGCAAGTTTTCGGTACTATTGCTTTTTTGACTATTTATTTACATGGAATGGCAATGTCTCTTTGAATGTGTGGTCAGTGGTCTTGTGTAGAATTTTATGATGACTCAAATGTTAGATCATACTTCAGAAGAAAGGCTTAATTGACCGATCACCTTTTTCGCTGGATGATATAATTATAAACCTTCCAGGAGGTAAGAGTACCTTTCTGCCCCAGTCTGGCAAATTTAGGGACAAAAAGTGTAAACCAGGCCCTTCCTTCACACTTCACAGATGTTCCTTTTGTTCCCACAGGAACCTAACAACTTTGGCTGAACATGTCCTCCAAGGTCATTGACAAATCCACTTCTGCATATAGGTCTGTCCCCACCTGCTCTGGGCAAAGTAGGGGGCTGACTTACATTGTTCGCCAGCTGTTGGGTCAGTCAAGTGTCTAATGCCTGGGTTCAAGAGGTAATTTTATCTGGTTACAAAATAGAATTTCATTCTCTACCTCCAACTTCAAGCATTCCTTTGGCTTCCCAGAAGCTGGCAAAGTTATATCTGGCCTTTTGAAGACCACCTAGCTCAAGGTGTTATTATCCAGTTTCCTTCTCAGCAAAGGTTCAAAGGCTTTCTTTTGAACCTATTTTCCATTCCCATTAAGGAGGGTATTCATCCAATCTTGAAGCTAAAGACGTAAAGTGCATTTGTGAAGGTCACAAAATGTAGAATTGAGTCCATTTGTTTGGTGGTGGCTTCTCTTCACCAAAGAGGTTTTCTTGCATCAATCACCATTCAAAATGATTATCTCCATGTTCCAATTTGTCAGCGCCATCAACGTTTTCACTAATTCAGCCTGGCAATCTGTCTCTCAATGAATTCAGAGAAAATAATTTTTACGGTAAGCACAGTAAAAACACCATAATAACAAATATAAAAATAAATCAGAAAGAAGTGCCACTCATAGGACTTAAAATGAGTCACAAAACATGAATAAAAGGTTTGCTATAT